TAGTAGCGATGCACTTGTTCCTAGTAGCAAAAGGAATCTAATAGCTTTTGGCTCCTAGTAAGCTACTAGTAGCTTCCTTGTTCCTAGTAGGGATGCAAAGGAACCTAATAGCCGTGGCCTCCAACCTAAGAGCAAAGGGAGTCCTAAGTGTCACCTAGTCACTTCATGTTCAACCACAGTGCCTAGTCTCACTCTGCTCCATGCCCCAAACGCCTTGGCTTCACCGCTGCTTAGCTTCAAACATGGCGGGTCCTGCAGATTGGCATCAAAAAGAAGCTACTAGGGGCTCCTGGTATCGCCACTAGGAGCAAGGACGCTACTAGGGGCTCCTGGCCTTACTACTAGGAGCAAATAGCTACTAGGAACAAGAAGCTTGTCTCAACTTTCGTCTTGACAAGAGATCCGACAGACGATCAGAGCTGAAAGCACTTTCGACGACGTTCAACGACGTTCGACGACGTTCGACGCTCCGACGCCACGTCCTTCAACAAGACATCCTTCGACCATGCCAAGCCGCCCAGATCCAAGTCAACGCTCGTCCAGCAATCCTGAAAAAGGAAAATTAAGAAGAAAAATGGCGGTCGTCAGACCGAAATCCAGCCAAGCAGGTAAAGCAGGTGAAGCAGGTAAAGCAGATAAAGGTAGTCTGTAGATTCTGTAGATGTTTTAACTTGTAGGTGTTGAACTTCACTTAGCGGACTTAGCGTGGGAAAGAGAAGACAAGGACCTTTGCGTTCTTGTGAAGTGGCACTTGTTGCTCTAGCTGCTTGGAAAGGCATTGCGCCTTTCAAGCGAAGAATCCAGCCAAGTAGCTCCCAAACTACACCAACGGCGAGGTGTCAAAAGAACAAGTATCAACCAGTACAACTAAAGAGCAAAAGGAGTAGCTACCTGAACAAAGAACCCAAATTGATCTGGGCGAGGACATTCAACACCTTGTATGTGGCAAATAGAAGACTTTTTGCAATTCTCTTAGGTTGGAGGCCAATGCTATTGGGAAAAATAAGAGTTGGTAACGAAAAAGCACTCTTCAGCATTCCGCAGTGCTTTTGTCAAACACTGCTCTAAAGCAAAAAGGTCCTCTGGCGCGTGCAGCCACCCGTTGCCCATCTTCAATTCCTCAAATGGACATAGAAAACCATTTCAGCCGTTTAGCTCTAGCGCCTTACTTGAAAATTCAAGCAATGGCCTCCAACCTACTAGCGATGGCATCCAACCTACTAAGCAAACACAACGTCATTCATGTGTCTTTTAGCACTGCATTAACAAGTGCATCGCTAGTAGTAACAAGTGCCTTACTAGTAGTAACAAGAAGCTACTACTGTCGAACAAACCGTTAGAACATTTCGACAGTCCTTCGTGTCGGTGTCAAACAGCAACCTGCGACCCTGGGAGCAGAGCAAACGAAGGACGACATAAGTAATTAGTAGCTTCTTGTTACTACTAGTAAGGCACTTGTTACTAGTAGCGATGCACTTGTTACTAGTAGCTTATTGTTACTACTAGTAATTACTATGGCACATGTGTTTAGCGATGGCCTTTGCTTCTAATGGGTTTTTGCTGCTAGTAAGGCCAGGAGCTACTCGTAGCGTCCTTGCTCCTAGTAGCGATGCCCTTTGCTCCTAGTAGCATAGCGATGGCCTCCAACCTAATTTTGAAAATTAAGCCTGTCATCTTATTTTTGTCTTAGGGACACTTGCCTGAAGCCTGAGGCCTTGCTGTCTGACCGGCCTGGAGTTGGGACCTCAGTGGTACCGCCTGACGCCAACAAGGTCGCAAAAGGGAGTTGCCAATCAAAACAAAGGTCTGATACGCTTGCGAAACAAAAGGATGTGTCTAGCCGGCCAAAGCTTGTAATGCAAAAGTCTGCAAACCACAGCCATCTGCTCCAAGGAGCAGGAAGCTATATGCTGGACTTGCAGTTCTTGGAACTACTAGTAGCTTCTTGGTCCTAGTAGCGATGCCAGGAGCCCCTAGTAGCGTCCTTGCTCCTAGTAGTGCGGCCAGGAGCCCCTAGTAGCTTCTTGTTCGTAGCATACATATATGGAGTCCAAGGTTGACGAAGTTCATCCTGCAAATGTTCGAAGTTGTGCACACTGCACCTCCAACCTACTAATAGCGTTAAGTAATTAGTAGCTTCTTGTTACTACTAGTAAGGCACTTGTTACTAGTAGCGATGCACTTGTTACTAGTAGCGAACCTTGTTACTAGCCCCAAACAAGGAGAACCGGAAAGCCGTGAAGTGCCAGATGGCACACCACTTTCACTCGCGAGTCAAAATCCTTGGCGCGCCTCACTTTCACTTGCTGCCTGCGTCTCCTCAGATGGCATGCCTGATTCCAAGAACACAAAATATTGCACTTAGTAGCAATGTTCGCTACTAGGGGCTCCTGGCATCGCTACTAGGAGCAAGGACGTTACTAGGGGCTCCTGGCCTTACTACTAGGAGAATTATTGCACTTGCATCACTGAAGCGCTTTCCTCTTGTCTTCAGCCGTTTTCTAGGACCAACTCTGACTCAATCTCTGACTTGCCGCCTTCAAGTGAAGGTTTCTTTGCAGCAGAACTGTGCAAAGTCGACGACTTCGGCGATTTGGGCACTTTGCTCTCCATTTTGGAGGTTCTTTCGGCCCTTTTCTCAGCCTTGCGTCTTTTCTTTCTTCCTGACAAAACCCAATCAGAATAAGAAAGGAGAAGCTGCAAGTGACGAGTCTTTGGAAATAGATCTTGCGACTCATCTTTTCGCGCCAGCCTGGAGAACTCTCTTCATCTATGTCAATCACCCCGGACGGCAAATGCGCATCTGAGCCGGGAGACAATTGCCAAGCACAAGAAATGCACAGGAAAGCGATGGTTCTTTTTGGTAGAGAGGTAAGAGGTATAGCTAGCAGGCAACTTCAAAAGAAGCCAATATGGCAAGGCGCGGCAGCGACAAAACTTCCTGAAACATGTCTTTTTTATGCAGAGCGTGCATTTGGTAAAGGCCAGACTTGTTCAATGTCGGATCTTTCTTGATGCTTCAATGCTTTCGTCTTCTTGGAGAACGGCTGAGAAGTCTGGGGGCCCAGCCCCGACCCGCGAAAATCCGACAAATGGCCAATTCCACACTGCCACCTGCTTGGCGCAAGGCCTCGTTTGACTCAACATTCTTCAACACTAACGAAGCACGCATTGCATTGTGTCTTTTCGCTCGCTTCAATAAGTTCAACTGCAAACAGCACTTGCACACCTTGTCTATTCAAGGTTCTGACTGTTCGCGCAGTGTCTTCTGGCACTGCAGAGCCCTTCAATCAAACGAAAAAAAGAACTGCAGAACTCAAAAATAACACTCATCAAAGTTCTTGTCACACGTCACGAAGTGGTATTGAAGCTCTGGCGCCTCAAGTAAGGAAAGGAGGTTTGCCAACGCTTCATCGTCCATGTGGGTTCAAAGGTCTAATGGATCCGCTACTAGGAGCAAGGGCCTTACTAGTAGTAACAAGGACGCTACTAGGGGCTCCTGGCATCGCTACTAGGAGCAAAGGGCATCGCTACTAGGAGCAAGGACGCTACTAGGGCCCCCTTCCAAAACTGTCTACTTCAGGCGTGTTTCTGCGATTCATCTTCTACACACTCACTTGGGTACACGTAACATCCAGACGATTCGTGTTGAAACCACTGGTGCGGGGCACTGCTCTGAGCCAGCTTAAAGAGGCACAGTTGAAAGGATTCTGCAGGATCACTGGGGCGGCTCAATGCACATGCGCATAGATTAAGTATAGACTCCTGGACCCTTCAAGAGAGGTGACGCCTACAATCCCGCTATGTGTTTTGCCTCCTCCAGCAATATCAAACAAACTCTGCACACCTAATTTTAGAATTTTCCATGTTGACACACGGTTTCTCCTTAAAGAACTGACAAGTTGAAGCCCACCCTTTTTGCTCGAGGCACTGAATGGTGCAGCACCCAACCCAATTCCACCATGGAATTGACGCCGCAACTTCAGGCATCCGGGGATCTTCAGCCACAACTTCGCAGCCGAAGAAGGCGATCAAAACCGGGCCCATCTGCATGTCACGGCGAAGTCTGGCTTCGCAGCAATTCGCGCATGCACTGCTTTCCGCTTCGCATGGCCTCACTAACCTTGTTGTTCATCCTGTGGATCTGGCGCTATCCTCACCAAGTCATCAATCCGCAGGATAGTGATCGCGGCCTCGACGGCAAAAGCGTTTGGTCGAACAACTAAGGCTTACTTTCAATAGCAATGGCCTCCAACCTAAGAGGGCGCCCTTTAATTACGAAACTTGGTGGTTAAGAGGTACCCTGCCAACCTAATGGCAAGACTAGGACTTACTTTGAAATCCCCAGCTGAAAGCTTAGCAACTTAAGGTCTGTAGCTGGAGTATGCCCGGGTAGGTTTGCAACGATGTATATATCAACTATAAGGGACCCTTGAAAGTGCTTGGTTGGTCTTGAACCTTGCAACAATCATGACAAGGTCAATTGAAACGGTATCATGTTGGGTCGTTAATGACGACAATGTTGCAATTGCGCAGCAACTCTTTGTGGTGATATGTTTAATGACACTGTTGTAATAACATTGTTGCTGACGCTGGATATTGCCGCATCTGCAGTATTTTAAAAACGTCGCAACGTCCCAACACAAAGGAAAACTTTCCAGAACTAGCAATGTCCTCCAACCTACTCGCAATGGCCTCCAACCTGCTAGCAACGGACTCCAACCTACTAGCAATGGCCTCCAACCTGCTAGTGATGGCCTCCAACCTACTAGCAATGGCCTCCATTCTACTCGCAATGGCCTCCAACCTACTAGTGATGGCCTCCATCCTAATAGCAATGGCCTCCAACCTACTAGTGATGGCCTCCAATCTACTAGTGACGGCCTCCAAACTAATAGCAATGGCATCCAACCTACTAGTGATGGCCTCCAACCTACTAGCAATGGCCTCCATTCTACTCGCAATGGCCTCCAACCTACTAGTGACGGCCTCCAACCTAACAGAAATGGCCTCCAACCTAATAGCAATGGCCTCCAACCTACTAGTGATGGCCTCCAACCTACTAGCAATGGCCTCCATTCTACTCGCAATGGCCTCCAACCTACTAGTGATGGCCTCCATTCTACTCACAATGGCCTCCAACCTGCTAGTGATGGCCTCCAACCTGATAGCAATGGCCTCCAACCTACTAGCAATGGCCTCCATTCTACTCGCAATGGCCTCCAACCTACTAGTGATGGCCTCCAACCTAATAGCAATGGCCTCCAACCTACTAGCGATGGCCTCCAACGTAATAGCAATGGCCTCCAACCTACTACTGATGACCTCCAACCTAATAGCAATGGCCTCCAACCTACTAGTGATGGCCTCCAACCTACTAGCAATGGCCGCCAACCTACTAGTGATGGCCTCCAATCTACTAGTGACGGTCTCCAACCTAATAGCAATGGCCTCCAACCTACTAGTGATGGCCTCCAATCTACTAGTGACGGCCTCCAACCTAATAGCAATGGCCTCCAACCTACTAGTGATGGCCTCCAACCTAATAGCAATGGCCTCCAACCTACTAGCAATGGCCTCCAACCTACTAGTGATGGCCTCCAACCTACTAGTGATGGCCTCCAATCTACTAGTGATGGCCTCCAACCGAATAGCAATGGCCCATACACTTTTCCGGCCACAGGAGCTTGCGCAATATGGGCTCTTGTGCGGGAACCCTGCAAACACGCCTCTGAGTACAAACACCATGCGGACGCACATGCTGCATGCCTAGTCCTAGAGCCCCTGTCACCCTACACGTCCACAGGTGTTTGTGGTTTTCTGTACCTGTCCGTGATATTGGTCCTTTCAGCGCCACGAACTGATTCGCAATACTAGTTGGCATTGTCATACTCAAAGACCATTCCGCAAAACAAATGCTGTCCTGAAGACGTGTGGATGACACATAAGTCGAGAAGTTGCCTCTTTGGATCATGACTGAAGGGATACGGGAGTTGAGTATGAGAGGAGTCGAGGAGTTACCTCTGGACTCCAGCTGTCCGCCAGGTCTCGAAGAAACAATGTTCGCTACTAGGAACAAGTGCATCGCTTCTAGTAACAAGTGCCTTACTAGCAGTAACAAATAGCTACTAGTAAGGCACTTGTTACTAGAAGCGATGCACTTGTTCCTAGTAGCGAACATTGTTCCGCCAGGTCTCGAAGTCAAAACCGGTCTCGAACACTTCGTTTTTCCACTTCGCTTCGCGAACGGAGGACGGCGTGGGCGTGTGTGGATTGACGTCAAAGAATTGGGAAGAGATTGATAATGTGGATGACAATGACGTGTTGACTCTGATTGCGATGCTGCAATACGCCAGAAGCGATGACAACGATGGAGGCTGTGGCAAAAGCAGTGATGATCCGATGGTGTTTCAGTGTCTGATGATGACAATCCGGTCAGCGCTCTTGAGGGTGGAGGCCATCGCTTAAGGACGTCCCATAGCCGCTTTACAAGCGTTCTTCGCTTTTGCAATGTTCGCATTACAAGCACAACTCAGACTACGAGACGAGGACGCGCCTGTGATAAACCAGGTGGTGATTCCGGAAATAAAAAGGAAGCTTGAAAAGTTGTAAGAAAAATAAGTTTAATCAAAAGACGGAGTTACAATAAAATAGAAACAATAAGCTACTAGGAACAAGTGCATCGCTTCTAGTAACAAGTGCCTTACTAGTAGTAACAAGGACGCTATTAGAAACAATAAGTTTAATCAAAATAGAACTACTTCGAATTTGTTGGATGTCACGACCCCTAACAAGAACACACATGGCGGGGATGCGGTTCACAAGGAATACCGTAGCAGGAGCCTGGATCAAACCGGCATGCAA